TGTCTTCAATGAATTGTTGTTATAAGGATGCAAGGTATAAAGATGTATTGTATTTCACGATTTATGTTTTATTATTATAAATGATAGCCTGTAGAAAAAAACAAGTTTTCAATTGATAAATATTCTTAACTTTACTGTGCATATTTATATTGATTAAAGATTGTATAATGACATGTGAAAATTGATACCATATATCTCTATTTTTAGACTTAACAACTATGATAAACATCGGCGTCTGCATATTTCGTCAATCTATTGTTGTTTCCATTGTATTGTATTTGAGAACAATTCCAACCTGCTTTAATCTGGCGTTTTTATAGTTTTTTTCTCCGTGTGTTATTAAAAGGATAAAAAGTTTTAGTATTGAGGATCAAATACTTCTGCAACCGATGTTTGTTTGCTTGTCTTTAAGCGATTCTCATATTTTATTTTCACCTGTTTTTGATTTCTGTGCATTAGATTGGTCCCCATTATACCAGAATTTCCTTATGAAATATGCATATTAAATCTCATATGAACATAAATAGTTACTTATTGTTGGTATTTTGTCATCGCCATAGTAAACGAGGATCAGAAAAGTCATTTCATAGTCCAATCGAGACGAACTTGATACATATATTACAGTTGTTATTTAGTTCTGATGCTTAAATACAGATTCTTATAATAATAACTTTATTTCCTTATGATTTTATAGCTTGAAGTTATTTATCATGCCAGCTATACCGGATCCTATTGTCGTGTTGTCCATTTGATGCCACAGCAAAGGTCACTACCTAAAACGAAAATATTTATTAAAACTAAGTATCACGTAGAAACCTGAACAATTTATCAAGTTTTCAAGATTTTTTTATCGGTCAGTGTTCTGTTAATTACTGTGTTTCAGTTGAGTTAAAATAGAACAATTGACAAACAGAACAGGCGTATATTTTTACAGAAGTTGTATACCCCAAAATAGAGAAAATAAGAGTCACTAAAGAAAGCCCAACACGGCAAAATTGAAAATGTTGCAGGCTCGGTTTGATTGAACCTGTTCATGGACGGTACAGTCAAGGGCAAACTACCGTTCACGCCCCCTTAACCATGGTACTTGATTCATTCACTTGATATCAAAGAATACCAGGATCTTTACTGACATTTGGTCACAACTGCCTATTTGTATTTGCGCATTTCATCAACACTCTTGCTTACCAACACTATAATTAAACATTTAATAACATAATGTTTTTTATATAAATGCAAAATAACAATACAAAAATCAAGAATGTTTTCTCCCAATTTACCTTCGAGGTAACAGAAAACAGTTACATAATTAAGAAGAATTGACAGCTTTATATTATGTTGGACATGTAGAGTCTAAAAAAAATGTGATGGTATACTAACATAATTATGAAAAGTGGTGACTTTGTATTATACCATTTAAATCGTGTTAATTTTACCTTATATTAACATTTCTGAAGTAGCGATTATATGAAACGAAGAAAGTACTGTTAGTATAAAGTAAAATGACACCACCTCGGTATGTTTATTATTATATAGACGCTTTATTTCTATACTAAGATAGTAATATTTGAAAATTTAAGAAAAGACATATTACAAACATTTATTGCTATGAAAGTGTCATTAATAGAAAGTAATGCATACGAAGATCAAAAATGTAAAAATTAATGAATTGATTGGCCAGCTGCTATTATTTTTGTTTTCTTTCTTTTGTTTTGTTTTGTTGCTGTTTTTGTTTCTTATTTTCTTATTATCTTAAGATTTTTTTTTCTTACAAAAGAAGCAACGTCAAGCACTGATTTATAAATTAATATCAATTGCCCTATGATTTGAAGAATTAAAGTATATTCATGATAAAAGAAAATTCTTGTTAAATGCATTAAACAATGTTACTGCTGTTGAATATCAGGCACCACTGAAGATAATTCCTGAGTGTAAATATTAATAATGTACTTATCTTGAATGATGGTTTGTTACAGTTCTTTTTTTACATAAAAACAAAAGAATTGAATATTCAATTATTTTAAGCACAACGTAACTATACTGACTATAATCAAAGTCATTCACACACATACACACATGTGTTTTAATGTTAAAACGAGTTTATAAAATCTAAGCAATCCAAATATGATTAATTCGACCAAACTATATAGTTGATTCTAAGGTAAATGAAGTGTTAAGTTCATAATCACGCGCAAATTAAAATATCTAACAGAAAATATCAGTCATGATTGTTTTTTAACTTATTTTTGTCATTTTCTAGTTGACTTTGTACATCATTACGCTGATGCTTTAAAAAAATCCTTTTAACGATATATTGCGACAAAACCTTTGATATGGCAAAAGTGACACGCGATTATTGATCTCAGGAAAATATTGTTTACGAAGTGCAGTCAGCTAATGTTGGGATGGAAAATTCAGAATTGTTTACTGTTATCGTAAATGTTCTTATATTGTTCAAAAGATTGGGCATCTAGTCTTTCTTTTCCGGACGTTTTGTGCAGAGTATTGGCATCTTCAGCTCACTCGTATCAACCTGATTTACTTTTCTAAACAGTGTATGAACAAATTTAATTACGTAATCCTGTATCAAGTAAAACATTGTTCGTCTTCAAATATTAATTACTGCAAAATAAAAACTTATTATCTTTTTATCAACAGCAACCACTGAACAATAATTTAATTTAATTCAAAATATGAAAATATATCAACAGAAGATTAGTTGTAACAGTAGAATTCTTTTATTTGATTTAAACAGATTACTGGAGCGCTAAATGTTTATATGCGATTGTAATAAATTTATAAGATATTAAATTTACGATTTACATTTTGGTAACACTCGTTACCCTTTAACATTTCCAATTCTCAGAAACGAAATCCCCACTGAAGACAAATTATTTGATAATCATGAGTAATGGTTTCTAGTAATTGTTTTCTTTTAAACAACATCTAGGGAATAATTAATTCAGAAAAAAAGATGAATAGATTTTTGATTCGCAGTTTTCAGAAAAGTTCTCCTATTTTGTATTGGGTTAATGCGAAACTTTTTTTAAAACGACAGGAACATAAATTAGCAACAACAGCATAAAAAAAACAACAACAACAAAGAATAAAAAGTATACCATCTGTCAGACGATAGTATATGTGTGTCATTGGCAAGAGGGCAAATGCCTATTTTTGACTTTTAGTTTTGTTACACAATTGGACTTGCAACACTCTTTGACTGCGCTATTAGACTGGCAGCGCTACTGGTGTAGCACATTAGTGTTATTTGTGACATGTGGGGGCCGTAAAATGTCGCCCCGTAAAAAATTAAAAAATGTTATATATTCTATCCTTTAAGATTGTTCAGCTCAACATTATTGTTGTGTGTTTATTTTCTTTTTTAGCTTCTTTTCATCTTTTTTATAATGAGTGTTTATAATATTCCATAGTGAATAATGTTGAATCACCCTTAGGGTATGTTGCCTGCTTTTAAATTTGTCCTTAACGTTTGTCCTTGACGTCTTATCTTTTGTATGAAGGCTTCATTACTTCTAATCTTTGTTTCAAAATTTCCTTTTCTTAAAATCCCCCAAATTCGTGAAGGGCACACTATTCTTTTACTTGAATGTTACTAAATTCAAAATATCACAATTTTCATGTTTAATTGTTGAATTTTGTTTCTGCAGATGCTAGGGGGCGTGGACGGTTACTTGCATTGTCCAATATCGCTAACGAACGGGCTCAATCAAACTGAGCCTGCAACATTTTCAAATTTGTCGTTTTTTTGCGTTCTTTAACTTCTTTTGGGATTCCATTTCCTCAATTATATGTTGCTACGCTCCTGGACTCCTACGCTGCATAATTGGACTCGCCGCGATTTTGGACTTGCTGCGCCATTGGACCTACTGTGCTTTTGGACATCCTGCGCCATAGAAAGTATTTCACTTTTTGAAGAGTTATGTTTCGAAAACTTGCTACGAATCTACTAGTTGCTTAGTTTCTTGAAAACAGGTCTCTTCTTAGACTTGCTTTATTCCTGGAAAGCGGAACTTATATAAAACAATTGACTTGACGTCAAAATATCAAAGACGTCGCTCTAAAATAAATCAAAAGTGACTTTCTTTTGACGGACCTAAATATAAAATAGATATGCAAAAAATTAAATGTTATTTTCCGCCATTTTATAAATAGGTACCATGACCTTGACACTGGAAAAGATGTTATTTATATTCTCGCGTTTAAAAGAACGTTTTCAGCAAGTCAAATGTGTGTCCACTACTAAATGTGTGTCCACTACTTAATGCAGTTAACTGAACAATAACTGTACTACAAATTTCAACAAGTTAATGCAAAAAATGTCTTATATCAAATTTGTCTGGGCACAAGATAAGGTGATTTGTAATATTTCCTGTCACAAGAGTAATTCTTCAGTTCCACAATGTGGGCATCTGAACACTGTAGCCCTTCTAACTACTGTGATAAGTGTACAAAATCTAAGATGCACACAATGAGGGCAAAAGTTACACTGAGCCCACTTTGTGCAGACAATACTAACACAATCCTTGAGTTTAGTATGTGTGTAGAGCTTGTAGACACAATATTTGTCTCTCTCCTCTATCTTTATATCAGTATCACTGTCTGACATAGGTGCTGGAGAGTCCAAACAAATAGGCCCCCTGTCTTAGATGTTCCAGATGTGCTAGGAATCTGTTCATCATGCTCCTTACTATTCCTCTGCTTCTTAAACGAAGCTTGTATGGGATTTTTAAGTCTATTTTTAACAGGTTTCTCAGATTTGGCACCCTTAGACTTCCAATGATTTTGTAGATTATCTCTATTTCTTTCATTTAACAGATTTCCCATTATGTATGATGGAATGAATGTTTTCTTAGGTCTTTATTTGACAGTTTTAATTTGTCTCTTTGCAAAGAAAGCGACATATTCATCATAAAAATGGTTTCTTGAGAGTCAGAGGGCTCTTTTGGTTGCTGTGGTGCCTATTCGGTTGTTTAAACTTGTTAATCCAGTCCCTGGCACTGTTCATGATTTTCACTAGAATCGTTTCGTGAATAAATTGATGAAGGTGAGGTATCACTGTTAGCAATTTGAGACTCATCAAAAAGATATATTCCTGATTTTTTGAAAGCTGATGGGATATTTGATGGAGAGAAAGCTTTCATATACGTCTTTGAAGTTAGTGAATCAATTTCATATTTAGGGATGAATACACCCTGGTTGTTCTGCAAATACTGCTGACACTCAGTGTAGTAGAAGGATTTGAATGGGCCATTATCACCAACATCCAGTTGTTGTGTGAGATGACTGGTATGTGGGGTAAGTACAAAAAAGATTACATTCCTCCCTCTAGCCCACTCGTTCAAAGTCAACGATAAGTAACTTTTGTGCCCATCATACAGGATCAATGTGGCTGGTCTATCTGAAGAGACAGAATCAAGGTAACAGTGCTTCGCAAGATTTGTCTTGACATTACCTTCAAAAATTTCACCATTCACCCAACCACTATCCGACATTGTACCATCTGCTCCAAATTGAGCACCTACCATGAACTGAGCATTAAGCCTTTTTCAAGGGAATATATAAAAAGTAGGCACATGATTTCCAAGGGTATTTGCTCCTCCTTTTACTACTACTTTTGAAGATCTTGGGGAGGTAATTGCCGAGGTTTACCATTTTTCCTACAAACTATTTTCGGTGGTGAGTGATGGGTGCTTACTCCCGTTTCATCTTTATTGTAGATTCTTTTAAGTGAATTGATTAAGTCATTGGCATCTAGAATCTTCTTCAGTTTTTTTTAAATAGTTATTCATGTTTTCTTCTGGATTTTTTTTTATGAAACTATAGTACCTCATAGTACTTAAACCATCCTTCGCAACGACTTTTTTCCCATTGACCTGGAATTGTCACTGCAGCCATAAATCTTATGTTGGTCATGGTATATCCATATCCGACACTGGCCATATACCTTATATGCTGTGCTAATTCGTCCTCTTCCAGAGAAGACAATAGAGTCTCTTGTCCAGGACGTGCCTCAAGGGTGACATTGTGTATAGTCCTGTCTCTCAAAGTAGACTCTGAGACATGGTACACTGTAGATCAACGATGCAGACATGCCATATGAAACACAAGCTGCATAGGCTCTCTTAAGGGTTTCCTTGTCATATGGCTGTTTATGCCTGCTTTGGGTCCCCGGAAAAAAAAATCAAAACTATGGTATTGTATATGTTGTGGAGTTTTAGGCAGCAACAACAACAACTGGAGTCCTGTCAGCAGACAGAAGTTGTCAACCTTTTATAGGAGGAAAGTTACCAAAGAATACACTTTTTTGTGACTGAAATAGTTAAAGATTTTCATATATAAGGTAAAATTTGTGATTTACTTAACTTAAGTCGGTTCATTACAGTACTGTAAAATGTTACTCAAAACACTGCTGAATAAAAGTAGGTCACCAATGTTTAAAATAGGTGGCGTTGTGCTTCAATCTAATGAAAAAATAAGAATTACGCGAGAATATATTTAACGCAAGAATACCAGCAAAGAGTATATAGAAATACAGAATCAAAATACTATGCCCATCATAGTGTATTTGTTGAGATTACGGGCAAATGTCAAAATAAGTGTATAGTTTCATATTTGTTTCCAATCTAATCTTTTACTTAAATTTAACGAGTGTTCAACATTCAAATATCCGTAAATATCCTTAAGAAAGTGTCGGTAAAGTTAAGTTGTTCAGAGTGTGGCAGTACTTTTATAATTAAGACAGCTTCTAGATTTCATTCTTAAAATTTGTAAAACCGCCTCCGTGGTCGATGGGTTAGAGTCTGGCGTTGGCTGGATCCCCGGGAGATGCTTTGGTAGTTTAAAGCGGAGGAAGGTTGTCTTGTACTGGTGTAACTCTCCAGGAACGATGGTTAGGAAACTACCCGCCTATATGACTGAAATACTGTTTGGAAAAGGCGTAAAATGAAACAAACAAACAAACAAACAAACAAACTGAAAATTTGTATTAATTAATTATCTGTAAATAAACATAAACATAGTTAATATTTTGAAATATAAATCTTTTTCGCCTCGATTTGACAACGAAAAGGTAAGCATAATGTCCATTTAAAGTAAATGTACTCATATGATATTCTTTCTTCTACAAATTTTGCGTTTCAAGGTAGTTAATGTCCAACACTATTATAGCAGTGCAGCTTTTAAATTACTTTGAATAGACTGAATATCCCAAATTAAATCAACACAGTTAACAAGTTGTCTGGTTATCATGTCTGACGAGAATAATCAGACAGGAGAGACATTTATTTCTTACAGTTACAATGCAAATATGCCATTTTGACATTGATCAATTTATTATTATCACGTGTATCCTATTCCTCTGGGTGGTTGCATTTAAATTTAGATAAGTTTCTTCAAGATTAGATGACTGTGAAAATGTCAGCATTTCTTTTCTAGTATGTTTCCTAATACTAATTGGGCAGTTCCTAAAGCCCCGGTCACATATTCACGGATAACGTCACGGAAGAGCTACGGTCTAATCGTTCACGGATTACTACGGAAATGTGAAATTCTGTAGTTCCCGGGCTACGGTTCCAGTACGAACGCACAACGGTATGAGTACGAAGTTCGACGGATCTACCGCTAAAATGCAGGTAAAATCCCCAGGAGAGCCACGGATTGTTTACGGTCCGAAATGGTTTGATACGGAGAGACACGAATCAGGACGGACGCCCTACGGATACACACTACGGTCTGTTACGGTCTAAAAGCACGGTATAGTACGAATCCCAGTACGATCTGCTACTGTTTAAGCCACTGGGTTAGTACGAATAAGTACGCGTCGGAGTAGATGACGGACGTAGAAGAACGAATCGCCACGGATTCTGTACGGGGGTCCTATTTTTATTATTCGGTCTATGCTCCGTCAACCTCTTGCATGGCTCAATTTTCGGAATATGCCTCCCAAAGCTAAAGAGATATAGAATACGAATTGCAGAGACGAAACGATTCTGCTGGTGAGGATTCAAGCCACAATCTCCGGGGCCCGACCCCTGAGCAGGAAGATAATACCGTTAAGGTTGATACATAAGCCACTAGCCAATCCCTGCCTTTTAACTTTGCAACAATTAGATGACATACTCAGCTGGTTTCCCAAGGTAAAAATAGTGTGTGGTACTATTAATTTGTTCTCGTCAAGTGAAGTGAGCAGCTAATTCTTTGAAGTTTTTTTTTTTGTTTTTTAAATTTTTTACATTAGGTCGTACGATGCTTAATATTATGATTAAGTTGTTTTAATGTCCCCCATTCCATGTAAAAAGGTGCGCTAGGGCAAATTAAGTTCCTAATTATACATTTTGAGTTTTGTCCGTTTTAAAACACAAAGGACATGAATTTTTGTAATACTTTCAGGAGAATTGATCTTTTGTATAATAAAGGCACGCAGACTATAAATTGACAGAAAAGAAGAATGACCCTCTGGAAGGAAAAAGCAGAGGAACTTGCATATGTGACGGTGAGTAAACAATAATTTATGAGTAATTTTGGCGAATTTAATATTTTCTAAAGTACTCGTAAAATATTTCACAAGCAAAATAAACAAGTGCGTTGTTTACTGTTGCACTTGTAAAGCTATTTTGATACATTTTCAGGTGCAAGGTTTTAAGGAGCTGGGTAGACAGTAATGCGAACTCAGTAATGGTAAGCTGAAAAATGTAACCATCAGGTTCGGATGGAAAAACCCTATCAGACAGAGATAAGTGGATTTTGGATAAGTTATCGTTCCTAATCAAATCATAATCACAGGGTGCAAAATGAGTGGCGGTACAGGGTTGCAAATGAAGTGGCGGAGTCGATGTAAGTATTAAGAATCTTGAGTTTTTTTTAAAGCAGCAAATAATAAATTTTATTTAAAATATACTTTAAAAGTATTTTCTAACGTACATTTTTAAATTAGGGACACTTTAAATAATGCGTTATGGCTTAACTCATAAAACTATTTTTCAAGGGGAAATTTATCGATGGAAGGTTACATTTTTCTAAATATAAACAAAATAAAAAATCTGAAAAAATTTAACAATCATTTTTTTATTATATGAGTATATCTTAAATAAGAGGTTGAAAAATGATAATTAATTTATCTTTAAAAAACTACTTATTGTTTTTTATTTTCATATTCAATAACTGTATATGACATTTAAAGGGATGTTGATTAATATTAATGTACAGAATAATCATTCTTACTTCGATATAGAAAGTTAATTGCTTTTTCGGACAACATTTCATCGGACTTAAAATTGTAAATCTGTAAACAGCTATAGAAAAAGCCTTTAAACGACAAGCGCGTAGTTAAATATAAATAGAAACCGAAAACTAATGTGACAGTGTGATTATTCTAGGCACTGCATGTAATCAGTATTATATGTATTATATCAAGTTAAGTTTTAAACAGGAGAGGTGAAGGTATTAAATCGCTTAATTGATATATATAAAATTGTTAGAGCACCTAGCTGACAAACAGGAGATTATGGGTTCGATCCTGATATTAGTCGCATTGTTCTGACTCTAATGAATGTATTTTTATGTTTCCAGCTCCTAAAAAAATCGTGAGAAACACCCAGAGAGGATACCGGACTCCGACGAAAGTGGCGAGGATGGCGAAAATAGTCAAGATGATAGAGAAGAGCAGCTTCCGTCCGCTTCACCTGCATTGGCAACTGCCAGTGGAGAGCAAGATACATCCACATCAGGTAATCGTAAGAAGAAAGCAAGCAGAGAAGAGTCCGAAGCCTTGCTTCAACGCTTGCAAGAACGTATCAGAAAGTCAAGTCAATTGCAGGAGAAGCTGATTGATGAAATGTCGGTAACAAAAGACCCACGGGTAGCAGAGCGACGTCAGAGGACACAGTGGTTTGGTTCTGCAATTACGGATATTGATGACTCTCTATGGTCAGATTTCCAAGCAGAATTTCTTCAACTGGTCAGCAATTTTAAGTGCGCTCTTTAAGCCTACAACAAGCTGTTGTGCAGCAATTTTCCTTGCAACCATCTTCTTTGCCGTCGGCTGACCAGGAGCATGCAGATTACCACACTGCGAAGCTTCTTCAGATAATTAACTACTCTTCAAATCCTGGGGGTTATTTACCAGTATGGCAGGCAGATGTTTACCAAACCTCCTCCTCCTATGTTCCTCCACAATCTTAACCCAGGAAGGTCACAGTCTGCGCCATTGTCCACAACAGCGACAATAAAAGCTGGCCCCCGCGTATGACACAGTCCCAGTCAACATCTACAGGGTGTTAGTTCTGTCGGTCATGCTAATTCTTTTTGCGAAGAACTCATGACCTTTTCGGGGATTACGAACCGTAAATGAATCTTCCGAAAATGATATTGTTGACGTGTAAATGTTGCGTAATAAGTTCATATTATTGATGATCATGGACACTTTGGTTCTATAAATGACAATGTGATTTCGGTTCATATGGCTGTTTAACATTTTAAACTCTGACTTGTTAATTGCTAGTAATTCCGAATGATTCCGAATGATTGA